ATTAACTTTAAAAAATAATTAATTTACTTACCGCCACAAAACTTTTCTGTCAGAATTGAATGCAAATACATTACTTCCCAACCGTACGTACACAATAGACTTGAACTTTTGTATATTTGTTGCATATTGGGAGTTCATGATGAGTTTAAAATGTTGAAGCGAAGTCAAGAAACAAGCAGCCGCCATGTTTGTTTATCAATGGTAATCATGATCACAAAAATTCATTTAGTCTGGAAAATTTAATCTCTCCCTGGCGGAAGTTTTTCCAAAACTTGGAATGGATTAATGAATTAATATTATTAATTATTTCAAAAATTATTTTCAATAGTTTATCTTGAATTAAAAAATTCAAAACACATAAAAATCGATACTTAATATTTTGTTTTAATTTTTGATAGCTAAAACATAATTTTAGCGCTTGCCAATTAATTTATATAATTTTTTGAAAAATAGCATGTTATATAGCAAAGTATTACTGCAACACCCAATTAAACTTTAAAAGTGTCAAACTCACTACCAGAGTTTCTTCCAGGCATCTCTTCGGGGAATATTTAAAGTGAGGGGGGGGGGGGAGTTTTACTACTATCATTGAAACTTAACATTTGTTTTGAATTTTAAAAAAAATCTTAAAATAACCCTGTATGTGTACATTCTGACTGTCAATTAAACCATAAAACTATGTTAGGGATTCAGATGTTAAATTAAGTGTTAATACGTCAAATACGAAATAATTTAAACCTTAACTCAGAACGATTTCTAGACAGTTAAAAATCTCAATTTTATAGCGAGCATGATCAATAATTCTAACCAATTAAAAATAGCGTAGACCTATATTTTCTTTAGAAATGTGTACTGGTCGTTGCAAATAATTCTCAGCCTCTCACATTTTGTTTACACCAAATACTTCTAAACAGTGAGACAAGAGAAAAAGGCGATTAAATTATTAAATCTCAAAAAAACATTTATAACGTATAAAAAAAACTTTATCTTTGCAATACTTGGAGGCAGAGGCGTAGCGACCCTTCCCGGCGCCCGGGGACATACTTTCAATTTGGCGCCCCCCTCGGGAGCAAATTTTTGATTTGCACCCCCCCCCTCGAACTTTTCATTTGCACCCCCCCTCAAATTTTCGATTTGCACCCCCCCCCCCTCGAACATTTCATTTGCACCCCCCACCCTCAAATTTTCGATTTGCATCCCCCCTCGAACTTTTCATTTGCACCCCCCCTCAAACTTTCGATTTGGCGCCCCCCCTAAGGTCGGCGCCCGGGGACATATGTCCCCCCCCCCGCCCCCCCTTCGCTACGCCTCTGCTTGGAGGTACTCTGTAGATAGCAACAAAAGTATTATTGTTTTAAAATATTAACGTTCTTGTGCAAATTTTTATATAACTAGGGGAGGGGGGTATAATTGCTAAAAACAAGATCTACTGACAGTGTGTTGGCAAAGAAAGTGGAACAGTAAGTTGTCTCTGGAATTCGATAGCTAATGCCCTCAACAGTGGTTAAAATAAATGCAAAACATTATATGGCAGGTCTGTGTTATGTTAATTTTAGGAGCACATTTATTTAACGATTTGTATTTACATTTTTTATACCTATATCAAAGTCCAGGTGATTAATTTGAAAAAAAAAAACATTTGTTTTAGAATACATTTATAGGCTCTGTGAAAAAACGAAAAAAAAATCCTCCTGATTAATAACCTTTTTTAAAAATGTATTTGTATGTATTTAAGTCAGGGCACTAGGGAAAAAAATGGCATGCATCGGGGACTTTTCTTAACATATGTTTGCCATGGAAACGACGGCCATTTTGAAAAAAAAAAACAACCTTTTGTGAAGGTCTAAGGTTAAAAGAAACTATGATATATTATATTGATTAATTAATCATTGATCTTTCTTTAACTAACTCTAACAGAGTCAATGGCTAGAATTTGTTTTGAACAGAAAATACTCTAAAAAAATTCAAAATTTCAAAATTTCGAATGATGAAATACCAGAAAATTTAGAATTTTATTTTAACCACATTTGTTTCATTTTTTATTTTATTTTTCATTTTTTAGCCAGACTTAAATTATGCAAGAACAAAAAAGCGAAATTCACTGAGTTCCCAATTTGTCTGGTATTTAGAGAAAACACTCAAAACTCTAAAAATAGAACTCGTGTCTAACTGTGGACGTCAACACAGCAGGCTAAAAATAGCAACTCGTGCACCTATCATTCATTCTGCCCATTGTTCATGTCACATGGGAAAGTTAATTTTTTTTTTTATAAACTAACTTTCGTTAAACAAAACGAAAATTGGGACGCAAATTAAAGCTGTATCCTCTTAGCTTTACCCATATAATAATTAGGGTTATTAATAAAACAGTTAAAGTAATGTTTTGGTTTAAGTTACTGCTTAAGGGGTCTTCCATAAATGACTACACACTAGTAGGGGGGGGGGGGGTCCGTAATTTTGCGACCGTGTGTGATGAGGGGGAGTGGGTGTTCAGATGGTGTGACGTCACACTTTTGCATTATAAAAAGCAATGCTAGAAAAGTAATTTTAGCCGTTATTTCGCGTTTTAGAAAACGGTTTTAACAAATAGCAATTTATTAAAATACTCTATGTTGACAGAGTTCAGACAAGATTTTGGAAAAATATCGTATTTTAAGATAAATGTAACTGCATTTTAAGGGGGTTGGTAGGCTGAGGTGTGACGTCATTTTTTTTGGGTGGGGGGGGGGTCCGGCTTTTTGTTACGATGTGTGACGGAAGGAAGGGGGGAGGTAAAAATCGTCAAAAAAGCGTGACGTCATTTATGGATGACCCCTAAAGTCTCCGGTTAGAATCAGGTTGTATGTAGCAGGATACGAATAGAAAAAATATTCGCTAGCTGAAATTTAATTTCTTGAGCAACACTGGTTAAACACAACTCATTTTTTTAAAAACTACAACAGTTTATCTCCCCTTTTACTGGGTGTTCACGAAGTTGGACTTGTTGTCTGAATCCTCCACCATATTCTCAATTAAGAACGAAGAAGAAGAAGAAGAACTGGGTGTTAAATGTTAATAGGACAAAAAGATAGTCGAACTATTTCTGTGACCACCTCAAACTAAACAAATGTTGAATACAGTAACTTTAAAACGTGTAAATTCATAAGTCACCATCTAACTTAAAGTAACTAACATTTTCATCTTCTAAATAGAAAGTCTTTTTATCCCATCAAAATGTATGTATAAACAACAAGCTAATTCTTGTGGATGAAACTAAAGTGTATGATGTTAGTTTTTCTTAAGTTTTTATTTTTAAAAAGAAAAGGGGTGGTAACATCTAGAAGAGAGAACTCCTATCTACAGGAATGTGGCGAATCGTACCGGATATTACGTCACCGTTTCTATCCCTCCTGGCAGGAAGTATTTGGAAAAATGAATGCCAGCTTTAGAGACAGCGGCATCATTTCAAGGATTTGGCAGATTAAAACTGTTGAGTGTTTGAGTTTTCCCTGACAGAGAATCGCAGCCGTGTGCAGGCCTCAGCCCATCAAATGTCGGCCTCAAACTTCAACTTGGTCGTAAAAAAACCGTCCACTGTGTGCTTGAAACAAGCGTACGGTAAGAATGGAAATAACACACGTTTGATGCAAGCCGTGATAATTGAATAATATTGACAAAATGTTATTTAAAGTGTGTGTATTACAAATATGTAAATGCGGGGACATATATATATATATATATATATATATATATATATATATATATATATATATATATATATATAGCTTCAGGCTACGTGGATTACTTGCGAATATAACAAGTATTCAGTGGTTATATGACGGCGTGGTCTAGCGGTAGAGAGCTAGACTGCAAACCCGAAGTTTCAAGTTCGAATCCGGGTTCAAATCAGTAGAATATCCCTGAGTCCACCCAGCTCTGAAACAGAGGCGGCTGACTTCATTTCCTCTTGCATGCTGAAATCATTGAAACAGATAAACTCTATTTCATCCACCCCGTCTTGTTCACAGGACAGTAAAGATGAGAGGATGCAGTCGTTGTGCTAGGGGTTGCGCTAGGGGTTGCGCTAGGGGTTGTGCTAGTGGTTGTGCTAGGGGTTGTGCTAGGGGTTGTGCTAGGGGTTGTGCTAGGGGTTGCGCTAGGGGTTGTGCTAGGGGTTGCGCTAGGGGTTGCGCTAGGGGTTGCGCTAGGGGTTGCGCTAGGGGTTGCGCTTGGGGTTGTGCTAGGGGTTGTGCTAGGGGTTGTGCTAGGGGTTGTGGTAGGGGTTGCGCTAGGGGTTGTGCTAGGGGTTGTGCTAGTGGTTGTGCTAGGGATGGTGGGATTAGACGTGGAGGATGCGCCCCACATAGGGCTGCTTTTTTGGTGTGTTTTTTTACAATATAGACTAAATATATACAAGGAACATTGGAAAATAAAAGTCTGTTGTCTGCAAAAAGTAAAGTTCTCTTTCAAACCTGATGGTGTATAGGGCGAGTGAAGTAGAGTTCACTTGTTTCTGTTACCTCGGCATATGAAGGAATAGTGTGGTCAGCACTATGCCCAGCCGCCTTTACTTTCCCTAACGTGAGTTAGGTACCCATCAGAGTTGTGCAGACTCAGGGACGGTCTACTGACTTGAACCCGGATTCAAACTCGAGACATACGGGTTAGCAGTCCAGCTGTCTACCGTTAGACCAAAACCAAAAGTTCGCCCGCTATTTTTAATATCCACGAGTTTGTGTGACGTACGTGTCACATGAAAGTTTATTCTAAACCCTACCAGAGTTTCGGGGGCAGGGGGGGGGGGGGCTTCCCCGAAGAACACGTTTACCGCCCTATCCCCTACCAACGAAATTGAATTTTCATAGAACATATACTTTTTACCAATTTCCGACATCCCCCCCCGGAAATGTTAGTCCCCCCCCCCCTAAAAAAATGTCAAGTGCCCCCCGCCCCCCCCCCCCCCCCCCGCGGAAAAAAGTCTAAAGGAAACACTTGACCCTACCCGTGGTTTAAGTACTCACCCTGTATGGGATGACCGGCCGTGACCTCTGACACTTTGGCCATGGTGTAGATCTTAAAGGCCGAGGTGCCGGTGGCGAAGGGTGCGAACCCCCCGTTCCCGTCGCTCCTGAGCAGGTAGTCGCAGTGAGAGACGAGGGCGGGGCTCGTGGTGGGGTTCTGGGAGTTGACGTAGCTGTCTATAAATAGCACACCGAGCAGCAGTGAGTACTTGATGGCATGAAACCTGACTGGTGCCGCGAAATGCATCGTGTGTCGTCTGCTAGATCTGGCTTCTCAAGTTTTTAACTGGGGGAAGTTAGAGAAGATTGAAAATAATTATAAAATTAACGTAAAATAAAACGAATCGATTACCTCGTTAATTTGATATTTAAATAATGCATTATTTCTATTTTCAAAAGGTATTAATTTCAAACCCACTGAAACCGGCAATGGTGAATACTAATTGGATAAAGCGATAACATTAGCTACAACCTTTAGTTTTTGAGAGTTAGGATTACTTTAGAGACTTAAATGATAGTAAGTTATAGTATACGAAATCTTGGAAATGTAGCTTATTTAATGGGTCTCATTATTGCCGATTTAAAGTTACATTCCATTGAGCTAAACATTTTTTTATTATTACTATTATTAACACAACACCTCAAGCTAAAATTCACTTTAACCATTATTGTAGTGTAACAGGCTAAATTTCACTTTAACCATTATTCATTATTTTAGTGTTACAGGCTAAAATTATTCACTTTTATCTTTCTGAAACTTTGATTCTACTTTCACTGGCAAAATTATTTTTTTTAAAACAGACAAGTAAATTTTTTTGGTGACACTAGTAAACAATACAACCAAAATACATTTTATACATTGATTAATGCAGCTAAATTACCTAATTCCTACTTACACGTTTAAATAGAAAGTAATTGAGAAACTATACAGTCCAAACAATCACGCCCAAAAACTTTTTTATTTTCAAGCTCTCTCTTTCTCTCTCCCTAGAATATGATTTTCTAAAAATATTTGAGTATACTTTTAGTATGTACTGTAAGTATTGTAAGTAAGCCTCTGGATCCCGCAGAACATAGGCGGGCGCCATAGAATTTTCAGTCCGGCCCCTGTTACTACAGTACTGTCATGTTTATATTTGCAGTGATTGTCGTTCTTTGTTCTTTTAATCCACGCCATTTTTCATATTCTCTGGTTAAAATAAGGGGAGATAATGGTATTATCACCCCTTGTCTAGATGTGTGTATTTTGTCAAATTAGTTACACAATCTCTGTTTACGTGCAGTATCTATATTTAAAAAAAACTATTATGGGGTCGTCCATAAATGACATTACACTCGTAAAGGGGAGGGGGAGGGGGCGTAATTTTGTGCCGGTGTGTGGTAAGGGGAAGGGATTTGGATTTGCTTCCATAGCCTTTGTCCAACCAAGAACAAACTACAAGGCAGCAGTTGTTTGATTTTGTAGTTGTCTCTCCTAGAAGAGTTGCTGTCCCCATCTGCCCGAGGGTTTGAATTTTAGCTGATATTTCGTGTTTTAGAAAAATGTTTTAATAAATTGTAATAGAAATTTATTAAAATACTCTATGTTGGCAGTTCAGCTACGATTTTGGAGGGAAAAAAATCATTATTTTAAGAAAAATGCAACTGTAATTTTGAGAGGGGTTGTAGCCTGAGGTGTGACGTATTTTTTTGAGGGGGGGGGGGGTCTAGCTCTTTGTGACGATATGTGACGGATGGGAGCGGGGAGATAAAAATCGTCTAAAAAGCGTGACGTCATTAAAGGATGATCCCTATGTAAACAAAATCAAGTTTTCAAAATTTTCCCAACTAATTATAATTGCTTTACTAAAATCATATTATAGTTAAAATGTCGCCATTCAAATTTGAAATAAAAGAACGTAGCATATACACGCAAGACACACATTCCTCTACCGACGGTCCACGGGTTTAAGTGTCTTGTCAAGTCTATGTGACCAGCCAATGTCAAGCCAATCATTTGTTACTGGTAGTGGACAAGACAGTTTCATGTCTAGCTCTAACTGACGACACTGACAGGCGGACGAGAGATTGCCTCCACCTTCGCCGCCATCTTGACCTACATAATTTGGTATGCCGTAGGAGATACGGTTTACTTCCAATTTTCGTTTAATTATATTTAGTCCTCATCTGGGGGGAGGGAGGAGGGGAAAGGTGTTGTCGTCATTAAATCACGTAATACGTCACACATGTGGTTTAGAAGTCTAGGGGGGGGGTCGGACTTTATTATTAGTGGCGCGGGCTAAGAACAGCGCGGAGGGATACAAAAAGTGTAACGTCACACACTTTCACATTTAAAAAGTACTTTCCTGTTTCAAAAAGCCATTTTTTTTTCTAGAACATTGAACTTAGTCAAAATGAGGTACATTAACTAATTCTTAAAGCTATTTTTTTAAAAAGTCCATTGAAGTTATGTTTAAAAAATACTTTTTAAAATTTCAAAACAGTGAAGTCATATTTCTAAGCCCCCCCCCCTCCCCGCTCATCAGGTGAGCTCTTAAGTCCTTATCTAATCTTCTACAAGAGTATAACCTCATTTTTCAATTTTGTTGAGTTTGCACAATGGAGTATTAGCACCAGAACTAGGCTTGTAATATTTCTTTTAAGGGGTGGGATCATTATATGAGTAATCAACATGCTCTTTACTTGAGAAGTGAGTAACTACTAAATGGTAATATTTGCTACGACCTGATTAAACGTTACTGTTATTATATAAGATTTAGTTTCTCTCTATTTAGACAGTGAGGTCGAGCTGGGATAAGTTGAAAGGTCAAGGTTGGGATTAAACAAGTAGCCTTTGTGGCTAAATTAGTTAAACCAGCCAAAAATAATTGTATTCAATTGAATACAGAATTTATAGAAGGAAAAAAAAAACAACAAAGGTTGCGACAGCATGGCCTACAAAAAAAGTCTCCGACAATTTTGGTTTTTATTGTTTCGCAACCCTTAATTTAATAAAGAAAGCTGGACATTTTAAGTTCGGTGAATTGAATCAAATTTTGCTACGTTTTTTGTGTGGTAATATTCTTTTTGTAAGTGTATCACAGCACTTCTCTAACTCTAGTACGTGTGACCCGTGAGCTGTGGGACTAGATACACGGTAAATACAACAAACTTGTTTATGTAGGGGGAGGGGACTTTGATCGCTAATAGACGTTCTTGGTCTAAATGGATTTCTTGAAATCGCTTTCTGTCAATTCAAACGTTAAGTGTCGGTCTATAAGTTAATACCGTGTTATCCATCATCTGAATCACGCAAATATAATACATTTACCCCCCCCCCCCACCATAATATTATACTTAACTAAACAAAAAACAAAGCAAAAAAAAAGTCACATTTTAATGCGTCAGCTGGAGTAAAATAAAATTCTTTATTCCACAGTTCTCATAACTATTATAGTTATACAGCCTACAATTATAAAAAAATTCGACTCTTATATCAAACCTTATTTGTTTAGTTATTTAAAAAATAAATACTAAGTTAATAGCATGTTATCTCTGTACAAGTCATGACTAAATGTTTCTAAAAAATCACTTTTAATATGTATATTTTTTTTAAATTACACATAAATTGTTCCAATGAAAAAAAAAGTAATCCTCTTTCATCGAATAAAAACTACTAAGTTCACATATTTTAAAACAAAACAGTCAGAATACTTTTATAACAGGCCTCTAATGTTAATGAATTAAGCACTAAACTTGGTACTAACCCAAAAAGTAACCTATTTTATTATAATTGACTGAAGCTAAAAAGACGAAGCCAACCGTGGGCGTCAGAATTGGCCCAAATTTTGAGCTCGTTTCACGTGATGTAAAATGCAAATTGTTGACGGCAACAAGATGAATTCAAGGAAGAAAATACACACAATATTACCATAATATGTTAATCTATGTTGTCTTCTGCATTCATTAAGTACACAATAGAAGCTGACACGACTTTATGGCTACAGCGGATACTACTTTATGACTACATTCTACCATACAAGCACTTCTCTCCTTTTCATGATGGCCAATGAACATTCCATAACACCTAGATCTATATGTAGGCGACAATGAACATCCTATATAACACCTATATGTAGGCGACAATGAACATCCTATAACACCTATATGTAGGCGACAATGAACATCCTATAACACCTATATGTAGGCGACAATGAAATCCTATAACACCTATATGTAGGCGACAATGAACATCCTATAACACCTATATGTAGGCGACAATGAACATCCTATAACACCTATATGTAGGCGACAATGAACATCCTATAACACCTATATGTAGGCGACAATGAACATCCTATAACACCTATATGTAGGCGACAATGAACATCCTATAACACCTATATGTAGGCGACAATGAACATCCTATAACACCTATATGTAGGCGACAATGAACATCCTATAACACCTATATGTAGGCGACAATGAACATCCTATAACACCTAGATCTATATGTAGGCGACAATGAACATCCTATAACACCTATATGTAGGCGACAATGAACATCCTATAACACCTAGATCTATATGTAGGCGACAATGAACATCCTATAACACCTATATGTAGGCGACAATGAACATCCTATAACACCTATATGTAGGCGACAATGAACATCCTATAACACCTATATGTAGGCGACAATGAACATCCCACAATACCTAGATCTATATGTAGGCGACAATGAACATCCTATAACACCTATATGTAGGCGACAATGAACATCCTATAACACCTATATAAGTAGGAGACAATGAACATCCTATAACACCTATATGTAGGCGACCATGAACATCCTATAACACCTATATGTAGGCGACCATGAACATCCTATAACACCTATATGTAGGCGACAACATCAACAAAAAGCATACGCTCTATTTTTATTTTTTTAACTATTAACAAAACAATCCATGTTTCTATTTAAGGTCTTCTTGGAATTAACACCAATAACAGAATACGATTTTATAACATGGTATTCGGCTCGTTTAATAATTTTTCAAAAATACGATCGATCCATTTTTAAGTAATTATATTATGCAAAAATCTAAATCAATCCACGGTGAACATCTTTCTGTATCCTACTATATCAGGAGGGTATCATGGAATACACCCGCAAAGTTTTCCTAATCCTAACGATTCATGACTTGAATTCGAACTTGACAATTCTAATTAACACTTTTAATCTTTACTCTACTGTATCAGAGAAAAAAATTCTCTTTAAAGTTTCACGCACTATAACCATGAGTAGAAATAAGTAACTAAAAAAACAAGCATCTCATCAAACACCAAAACACGGAAAGAAACCCACCGGCTTAGAACGCGATATGTACTGAGTCCTCAGTCGGAGCCACCTGCTCAGGTTTGGCGTCATCATTTACGCTCATGTCGTCTGTAGTACAAGGGCAATCAACAAACAAGTCTCATGATAGTCGTCCACTTATTTAGACCACCCCCACTGCCCCCCCCCCCTCCTTCATCCTAGTCAACGATTAACACATTACAATTAGGATATTCATCTCTGTCGCTCAAGATTTCTATTTAGACTTACCGCCCTTTATAAGAGAAAATGTAAAGAATTTTAGGTAGCAGTAAGGGGGTGAATAATGTTTCATTACTTTTACTTAGAGTTACAGGCCTTACTGCACTTTTCAAAGGCATCTTTTATCTATCGAAAATGGATTAGCTGCTACTGTCACAAGAAACGCTTATGAGTTTAATAGTCCATACTTTTTGTTTAAATAAACTAAATCGCCATTTTTGCGCCAAGTTGTTGATAGAAATGTTGACCCCACTTCTGTAAATTAAATAGGAATTTAAACAAAACAAAAAATAAAAACTAACAAATTTTTATCTTCAAATGTAAGCCACTCCCCTCTCTTTTCCATCTAAAACCCTCGCGGCAATTCCTTACTTTAATTTGTATCCGCCTTAAAACTGTGTAAGCCACAATGGCTTAAATCGGTTAACAACGGTGAAATATTAATAAATTATGCTATGATAGCTATCCTCACAAATATCTCTATGAGCTTGTCAATACGATAATGATGTTAGCGCGTTAGTTGCTTCCATTATGCCAATCGTCAACACGACCATGGGGTCGTTCATGAAAGACGTCACTTCCATGAGATGGAACCTACTTCAGATCTTGCCTTAAGGTGTATTACCGTGGGGTCTTCATAAAACCATTCTAATTCCTGTCACAATTAGGCATATACTTAGCCAAGGTGTGTTAGACAACTTTGTGACATCATCTGAAGTCTGGCGTGGAACTTTTTGTATTTTGACGCTGTGTGTAAATAAGGAGAAAGTAAAGTTCAATTTTCGAATCTGACAGTCCATAGGGGCAAATGAAGTTGAGTTCATATGTTTCTATGACCTCGGCATATAAAGGGAAAGTGTGGCCATTACTATGCCCAACCGCCTTTACTTTCCCTAACGTAAATTAGATACCCAACAGAGCTGAGTGGACTCAGGAATATGTACAGATTCGAACTCAGATTCGAACTCAAGAATTTCGGGCTAGCATTCTATCGCTCTACGCCGCCCCATGCCAATAGGGTGTAAGATCTATAACTGTGTGACGTCATATGACGAGACCCTATTAGCACCCAGGCTAAAACTGTGAGCAGTGTTTCTTCCAGACTTTTTTCTCCGGGGGGGGGGGGGGGCACTTGAAATTTTCGGGGGGGGGGGGGGGGGGCGGTAGACTTTCTTCGGGGGGGGGGGGGGCGGACACTGTTAAAAGTATATATTTTCTATGTAAATTTATTTCGTTCGGGGGAGGGGCGGTAAAAAAATTTCTAAGTCCCCCCCCCCCCCCGAAGAGATGCCTGGAAGAAACTCTGACCGTGAGACGTCATTTGACGAGACCCTTTGAGCACCCAAGCAGAACATGACGGATGTTGTCTAGTACCAAAACACCAGAGCAGCTTTTGTATAGCCGAAACACCTTATATGAGGAGCAGCTGCAGGACCAGACACGCCCTGTGCAAGTGTACACGCATGACCAGCCATCCATCAAGGGAATACACGCCTTGGTGTACACCACACAGCAATACAACATACACTGGACACACAGCCTGTTGGTAAACATGTCCACGACGTCTTGCCTAATTGTTGTTTACATTTTCAAAGAGATTGCGCAATACGTCATGACTATGTGTGCAGTTGTCAAAAGGACGGACAGCGCGATGCGTGTTTTGAATTGGATGGTGTGTGAGCAAGTATAAAGAGGTCATGCTAGCTGTGACTGCAGACAAGGTATAGGAAACAAAAGGTGTTTATGATAAGTTCCAAATTCTATATTGTTTTCTGTGACGCTGGAGTGTGTGTAGGTGGTGGGGGGGGGCTTTTATCTAAACGTAAAGACAGAAACAAAGTTACACTACTGTATCTTGATTCAGCTCACCAAATTAAAAATGTTTTTTTAATTTTTACAAACTTTTGCAAGACATTGAAACAGAACTAGCCCCATTGCTTGTTAAAAGACATAAGAGCTCCTTTGTTAGGGACAGGGTACGTTTGTTGCATTGACCTTATCATATGAATGGGGTATGGTCAACATATGTCCTGTCGCCTCCAGTCAGTGTTTCTTCCAACTTTTTTCTCCGGGCGGGGGGGGGGGGGGGATGGGGGTTGGGGGGTTGTGGACACTAGTAAAAGTATATGTTTTCTATATAAGTTCTATTTTGTTCGAGGGGCGGTAGTCCTTCTTTGGTGCCCCCCCCCCCCCTCCCCCGAAGAGATGTCTGGAAGAAACTCTGCCTCCAGTGTTTCTTTCAGGCATCTCTTCAGAGGGACCCCCTCCCTGAACAAAATAGAATTTATATAGAAAATATATACTTTTACCAGTGTCCGCCCCCACCCCCTGGAGAATTTAGCCCCCCCCCCCCCCCCCCAGGAGAAAAAAGTCTGAAAGAAACATTGGTCGCCTCTAGTCCATTTGACTGAAGTCATTTAGCCATCTGAGCTAAAATACGTAAAATAGATCAATAAATATCAAAAGGTTATGGCCTTAGTGCGTCTATCTATTATTCTGAACAATAAATAAGCAACCGCAAACCTCAAAACACTAGATAATGGACACATTGCGCAAATCTATACACTCCCATCTCAGCACTCTTCTGATCATAAGTTTAAAAAAAAAAGAATATGACGTAAATTTGAGTGCACGGTATTTATAGCCAGCGGGTAAATTTATGACCCAAAGGTTAATGAAAGTCTAGGCCCGTATTGATGTAGATCTGTAGTTGTCCTCAAACAATATTTCACCTCTCATCTTTGAGCACCGTCGGCCCGACATCTATACGTCATGGGCAGACAACTCTAACATGAGTAGAAGGGGGAGTAATCTATCACCACAATTTCCTGATGATTTACACCTTTTTTTTTATATTACCGTCTGTGTGATTTATTTCTTACTTAATTGTCATTTTTTTAAAACTACAATTTACGCAGCATAGTCTACTAGACAGGGGCGGTAAGCCGTGGAGTAGATCAAACAAGAACACAAGCGACAGCTGCTGTCTCTATGGCATTTATTTGTATTTTTTTTAAAGGGCTAACATTGTGGAAAATATTTTTAAAAATTCTTCTCTTGAATTATGGTTATTTGGTGAGGTTATGTTCAGGGGAGGTGATGGCAGGGGTTATTAGTACCCCCCCCCTCCCACCCCAAATTAACAGGTTACAACGTTAAGTCGAAGCAATTTAACAGTTCCAAAATTTAAAAAGTGAATCTCCTCTTATCATTCGCATTCAAGACACATGGGGGGCAGATGAAGTAGAAATCATATGTTTCAGTGACCTCGGCATATGAAGTAATAGTGTGGTCAGCACTATGCCCAGCCGCCTTA